TTTTGGGAGTGACATGATCAGCAGTGGATCTAGTACCAGTGACACAGGTAGTCCATTTTGGACTGTGTTGTGGTGAAATCTAAATTGATTTCTATGTTTGTCAATTATTTTAATAACATTTTAGTTCTCCGTTAGTGGGAAAGAAATGGTCTTTAGGTTTTGGATCTGGGAAAAGGAAAGGAGGAGCCAGTTTGGATCTGGAGAAAGGAAGGATAAAATTAAATTCCATTTTGGATCTTCTAGTGAAGATCAAATTGATGACATTGGCTTTAGCCAAAAGGGAATAAAATGTACTAGCCAATGTACTTTTGATGATTTCAGTGATATTTAATTTCTGTGCATGGAATTGTTCTGAATCCTACATTTATTGACATACATTCTGTGAAAAATCATATTATATTCTGCAGGCGGTATCAGTGAAAGAACTGGGGAAAATATTTTGGGAGACCCATCTGGAAATTTGGGATTTGGTTCTGGGACATCTGGTGTAAATGGATTTGGAAGGAGTGGATCTTTTGGGAGTGACATGATCAGCAGTGGATCTAGTACCAGTGACATAGGTAGTCCATTTTCGACTCTGCTCTGGTGAAATCTTAATTGATTTCCACCTTTGTCAATTATTTTAATAACACTGCAATTCTCTATTAGTTGAAAGAGAGCTGTGGTAGCATAGTGCCTAAGGCACTTGACTGCTATCCAGAGGGCTGGTGGTTTAAACCCACCAGCCACTCCTTGGAAGGAAGATGGAGTAATCTACTTCTGTAGTGATACTGCCTCAGAAACCCAGGGAGGGGTTGCTATGAGTCGGGTCTGATTCCACGGCACATAGCCACAACATTAGTTGAAAAGAACAAGCCTTTTGTAGTTTGATATGGAGAAAGGAAGGGACAACATAAATTTTGTTCAGCAGACTGATTCAAATCAAATTTGTGAATGGCCTTAGCAAAAATCAAATCAGAGTCACTAGCCAATGTAGTACTGGTGATTTCAGTGACATTTAATTTCTGTTCATAGAAAATTGTGAGTCATAACATTTATGGACATATGTTCTGTTACAATTCATTTTATATGGTGCAGGTGGTACCATTGTAAGAACGGGGGAAAATATTTTGGGAGATCCATCTGGAAATTTGGGATTTGGTTCTGGGACATCAGTTGTAAATGGATTTGGAAGGAGTGGATCTTTTGGGAGTGACATGATCAGCAGTGGATCTGGTGCCAGTGGTTGATAATCAGTCCATTTTGGATCCTGTTCTGCTGAAATCTAAATAGATTTCCACTTTTGTCAATTATTTTAGTATCATTTTATTTCTCTGTTAGTGAGTAAGAATTGGTCTTTTGCCTTTGGTTTGGGAGAAAGGAAGGATAAAGCTAAATTTGTTTTGGGAGATTTTGGTTCTAATCAATTGGGGACAGTGGCCTTAGCGAAAATGGAATAAAATGTACTGGACACTGCGGTTCTGGTGATTTATGTGATGATATTTAATTTCTGTGTATGGGAAACTTCTGAGTTATAAAATTTATTGAAATATGTTCTGTTAAAATCATTTTATATTCTGCAGGTGGCACCAGTGTGAGAACTGGTGATAACTTTTTGGGAGATCCATCTGGAAATTTGGGATTTGGTTCTGGGACATCTGGTGTAAAGGGATTTGGAAGGAGTGGATCTTTTGGGAGTGACATGAGAAGCAGTGGATCTGGTGCCAGTGGCTCAGGTAGTCTAATTTTGGACCTGCTCTCATGAAATCTAAATAGATTTCCACCTTTGTCATTTATTTTAATAACATTTTAGTTCTCTGTTGGTGGAAAAGAACTGGTCTTTTGGTTTTGGATCCGGAGAAAGGAAGGATTAAGCTAAATTTAGTTCTGCAGGTTGTGGTTCAAATATAATTGGTGATAATGGCCTTAGCAAAAATGGAGTAAAATCTACTAATCAAGGGATTCCTGGTGGTGTAGGTGATGATATTTAATATCTGTGCATGGAAAAGTTCTGAGTTATAAAGCTTATTGAAATATGTTCTGTTAACATAATTTTCTATTCTACAGGTAATACCAATGCTAGAACTTGTGTTGATTTTTTGGGAGATCCATCTGGAAATAGGGATTTGGTTCTGGGACATCTGGTATAGAGGGTTTTCCTATTTTGCCAAGTAAAGTTATACAAAGAAACATATTAATAATTTTTTCTATTAAAATAGTTGTCACAAACTTACCTGACTACCATACATCTGGACCACTAAGCACTCCGGGTAGTTGGATTTATGACTATTTGGATGTTAAATAAAAATTACATTAACATATATGTGTATAAATATAATTTTTATATATTCTGTTGATTATTGATTCACTCAGACTGGATATTATTACAAGTATTTCACAATACTTATAAGTGTCTAATAAGTGCTTATAAGTTTCTCTTTTGAGTACTAATGTTAGAGAACCATTGGAATATTTGGAAAAATTAAATAAGAAAAAGAAATTAAAATATATTTAAGGGAAGTTGAATAAAACATAGTGTGCCTTCTTTATAATTTTAAATATGTTATTCTTTAAAATGATCTTAGAGATAAACTAGGAGTTCTACCTATTTCCATGTAACCCGAGTAAAGACAATTTGTAGAAAAGACAAGTGGCTTCAAGAAATACAATAATCCCATTGTGAAAAATATTTTAAAATTCTATTGGAATATTTACTATTGGTTGTTGTTACATCTTGATTTCTTTTAGGCCTTGCCTAAGAGTTCATATAAATATACTTGGTTACATAAAAAGGTCAGAATATTAAAATTAAAACAATTATGGGAAACAAAGTTTTGAGATTTGTCCCTTTACTGGAGAGAATTTAATTCTTCTCATATAGGGATAGTTGATTTGTTAATATTAATTAACAGACTGATTTAATACAATCTATCTTTGGCTTTTTGGGTAATGGCTTCCAGTAAATGTGTTAAAACCACGGCCATCAGGTCAGTTCTAACTTATTGCAACCCTACAGGACAGAGCAGAACTGCCCCCATAGGGTTTCCAAGGCTGTAAATATTTATGGGAGCAGACTGCCACCTCTTTCTCCAGCAGAGCAGCTGGTGGGTTGGAATGGCCAAGCACTTTAACCACTGCACCAATGCCTCCTAAAAATGGGTTTACAAAGTTTTATTTTCAAGATGGAAAAAATAGTTCTGTATGTGTCAAAAATATGTTATTAATTGTACATTATCCCAAATAAGCTGTTAAATTCCCATGCATATCTTGTATAATTAAAAAAATCAATATATGTTCTGAAGTTTAAATCACGTATGCTTCATTTTGAACAGAAAAAGGATCTCATATTCCAGAAGCAACTCCAAAATATTCTGAAACAAATGCAATTCTTGGTAAGTTACAATGACTGATCTTCATTAATATTTTTAAGCCCAAGGTGGCACTTAATGAGGCCACAAAGTAACCAAGTTTGAAACTAGTTTTGAAAACTAGTCTATCATCAACTGAGGAATGGATAATTAAACTATAGTACATACACACAATGGAATACTATGCAACACTAAAGAATAATGTAGAATCTGCAAAACACCGCATAATGTGGATGAATTTGGAGGACATTATGCTGAGCGAAATAAGTCAGTCACAAAAGGACAAATATTGTATTAGTCTGTTATTGTAAAAGTTAAGGAAATTTATCTATAGAAGGAAATTTTCTTTGTTGGTTACCAGGGGTCGGAGGGAAGGGGAGGGAAGGCTGTTAGACAGATAGAGATAAGTATTGATTTGGGTTAAGAGAAGGGCAATGTACCAAATGTGAGTGACCAATATGGCAGCATTGAGGATGAGAAAGACATAGAGAGGTACATGGGAGGTACAGACAATGAACCCTTTTGAACATACAGTACTGCGTTGTCAGTGAAGGCAAACATGGGTATATGGATGTATAGATGGGTGGACAGGTTAAATGATTAGGTATATCTATGAAATGGGGAGTGTATCCAAGAACATATATAGGGTTGGCAGACAATGGTCCTATAAGTTTATGTGAATGATCAGAATTCCCAGGTGTATAGTAGAGCTGACAACAGGAAGGTTGTGGCCACTTCTTGGTCACAGCCAGCTACCCAGAGGGACTGAATAGTTGAACCTGTAGGCTTGGGACCATAATCGCAGGGGACATCAAGCTCAATTGGCATAACATACTATACAAAACATTGTTCCACCTCCTACTTTGGTGAGCAATGACTGGGATCTTAAAAGCTAGCAAGCTGCCATCTAGATGCAAAGATGGGTCTCCCCTCGTCCAGAGCAAAGAAGAATGAAGAAAACCAAAAATTCATGAAAACAATTAGTCCTAGCGACTGGTACACCATCCAATCTGCAGCCTATATGACTATGAGACCAGAAGAACTAGATGGTGCCCGGCTACTACTGTCAACCACTTGGAAGGGGATCTATGTAGGAGATCCTTGATAGAGAGGGAGAACAATGTGGAACAAAACTCAAAATCATTTGGAGATAAAAAAAGGGGGGGGGGGTTTGGAGCAGGTTTGCTGGTCTGATAGAGCCTGGTGCAACCACTGAGACCATGGCCCCTAGCTGCCTTTAAGATCTGGAATTGAACCCACACCTGTGGTTTCCAGCCAAACAAAATATAGTCATTTGAGTTAAACATTTACCTCAAGTAGTTACACTCCTTGGGGAGAACAATCATGGGAGAAAGTAAGGCTGCTTATGCATAGGGAGACAGCTCAGGGGGCAGGAGTGTATGGAGGGATGGACACTGGGAAGCAGTAACTATGGGGAGGACGTGGGAGGGGAGCTGTTGCATTGCGGTAAACTGCGCAATGACATGAGACAAAGTATATGTGAACTGCTGTATGGAAAGTGAATTTTCTCTGTAAATCTTCACCCAAATCACAATTAAAAAAGAAAAGAAAACTAGTCGATCATCTGGGTTTAATCACTGTTGATTTGATTGACACCATATTTGTTATACACACACACACAAACACACACACATATATACAAATATATATATTATATTATTTCATATATTATATATATAATATATTGTTGTTGTTGTTGTTGTTGTGTGCCATGGAGTGCACCCTGACTCATAGCGACCCCTCCTTGGGTTGCCGAGGCAGTATCACTACAGAAGTAGATTGCCCAACCTTCCTTCCGAGAAATGGCTGGTGGGTTTGAACTGCCAGCCTTCTAGTTAGCAGTCAAGTGCCTTAGGCACTATGCTACCAAAACTCTTAATAAATTATTGTATTATTATTAACTCTTAATATATTATTATATATGTGTAATTTATATTCATTAAATATAAATGGCACCATACTCAGATAAAATTAGAAAACCTATCTCTACAGAAAGTAAAATAAATCACAACCTCTCTCAGTTTTAATTCCCTTCTATTCATCCCATTGGTGCAAGAGGGATTTCCCTCTACTATACCAGCCACTCCTCAGAATGAGTCAGGTCCAACTCAAGGGCACATAACAACAACATAGTACTTAAGGAGGAGCTCTGGTAGCATAGTGCTTAAGGCAATTGACTGCTAATTAGAAGCCTGGTGGTTCAAGCCCACCAGCCACTCCTCAGAAGGAAGGTTGGGTAATATATTTCTGTAGTGATACTGCCTCGGAAACCCAGGGAGGGGTCACTGTGAGTCAGGTCCCATTTGATGGCAAATGACAACAACAACAACAACATACAGTACTTAAAGGAGCTCTGGTGGCATAGTGGTTAAAGCATTTGGCTGCTAACCACAAGGTCGGGGATACAAATCCACCAGTAGTTTGGAGGGAGAAAGATGAGGCAGTCTGCTTCTACAGAGATTTACAGCCTTGCGAATCCTATGGGACAGTTCTACTCTGTCAGTGGAAAATAGTACTTAAGAAATGGAAAAACAAAGGACATTGGACTGATGAAATTGGCAGCAATTTATCAGCCACACATACTCCCAGTCACAGGGAGGACACCACAGGCCACACTAGGTTTGCACTGGAGAGCAGAAATCAACCAGCAAAGGCCGTGGAAGGCAAGTTTTGTATTTATAGAAGGGTGGAATGAAGTTTCCTTAGCAGAATGTGATTGGTTAGTTTGAAACACAAACTAGTGGCTCACTTCCCTGAGCTGGTATGAAAGTACAGTTAGATTGAGGAGCTGATGGAATGCAGTGGGACAACTGATAGGAAAACTAGCAGAAATAGAGCTTTTTCTGCTGGGTAAGGAGCATTTCAGGAGCTCTGGTGGCATAATGCCTAAGGTATTTAACTGCTAACCATAAGGCTGGCGGTTCAAAGCCACCAGCCACTCCTTGGAAGGAAGGTTGGGCAATCTACTTCCATCGTGATATCACCTCGGAAATCCAAGGAGGGGTCGCTATGAGTCGGATCCAACTTGAAAGCAGTGAGTTTGGTTTAGTTTGGACGGAGCATTTCTTGTGGGAACAGAGGAACTCAGAGTTAGGCATTTATGGGGGTCTGGGAGACTCGAGTCCCTCAAACCAAACTCCAAACTCATTGCCATCTAGTCAATTCTGACTCATAGAGACACCCATTGGGTTTCTGAGGCAGTACATCTTTACGGAAGTAGATTGACCCATCTTCCTTTTAGAGAGTGGGTGGTGGGTTTGAATCAGCAACCTTCTGGTTAGCAGTCAGATGACTTAGGCACTAAGCCACTAGAGCTCCTTAAGGAGTCCCTAGGTGGTGCAAACCCTCTAATTGGAAGATTAGCTGTTTAAACCCACCTAGAAGAGGCTAAGACGAAAGCCTCACTACCTACTCCTGAAAGGTCACAGCTATTGAACGCCATAGGGAGCAGAGTTCCACTCTGAAATGCGGGGTTGTCACTCCATGGCAACTGGTTTGATTTTTAGTGGGGAGAGGCTCAAAGATGTCAAGGCAGTCCTTGAAATTTTAAGTGTTACAAGACCTTCTCTACATATCCCACCCTACAGTAGATAGTATTTTCCCTTTCCTCCAGTTAATGAGATGTTTCTCTTTTTGTTTATGGCTAAATTTTGTTATTCTAAGGAAATACTCAGGTACTACTTCAGGTCCATTTTGCATTCATGAGGGAACAAAAAGCATTGATGTAGGATGGTGGCTGTGAGAGAAGAACTCCTCAGTGATTTTTTTCTTGGTATATAAATTTAAAAAACAAATAAATTCAGAACTAGTAGGTGTATCGATTGTTTTATACAATTATAAATATTCTACTCTGATTGTCTTGTAGGTGAAGCTTCTACTTGGGGCAAAGGAGCTTATAAAGCCTTCAATGGCCGCATCTTTTCCTTTGAGTCTTCGTGCACATACACTTTCTGCCGTCACTGTGTTGAATCTGGAGGAGATTTCAATATTGAGATCAAGAGAAACAAAGACAATGAGATTGAAAAAATATCAGTCGTAATTGACGGCAATGATATCTCTATTTCTGGTGATATCATTTTGATTAATGGAGAAAGGTAAATGTCCTAAGGCATTGGATAAATGCTATAAAATTATTTGAAGTAAACTGAGCAAAAAATTTTTTAAAAAAAACAGGCTGAATAGGAAAGAGATTTTACTTTCCCTCTATTTTGATCTTTCTATCGATATTTGTAATAAATTCTAGGACAGGAGTTAGATAAAAGTATAAGATTTTACTTTATTCGGAATTATAAGAAATTATATTTATTCCTATAACAACATAGAAAACATAGTAACTCTGTTGACTAGCTTTTCTGAGTGTCTAAATTCTGGGTAAGATAACCATATAACAAAACTATTAATAGAAGAGTTCAATTTTCATTTGCTTGTTTTATACTAAATATAGACTTGAGACTTCACAATATATTGACTCTGTTAGGGTATTATTTTTAGAAGTAGCAACTCGGATTTAGAAAGGATGAAATATTTGAGTACTTTGCGGGATGAAAAATGAGAAACAATATTTTATTATGAACAATTCCAAATATTTGATCATTTTTCTGTACATTGCTCTAATGTTTCACCTTGTTCGTTTCTCCAAAGCCCCCGATATCTATTCATTTTTCCAGAAAATTGCTTCATATATTGGGGAAAAGTCACTGTTTTTCTTTCACAAAATAACAAGAACAAGAAAAATTTAATATTTACTAGCTGGTATTATATTTATAAGATATTAAATATATAAACATGAATTATCAGAAGTAAATATGCTTATAAGAATATTTTTTCTTACTTTTGTATTTTATACTTTACAGTGTACAAATACCATATGATAATAAGTTGATTCATATTAAAAAATATGGAGAACATAATATCTTGAATAGCCGAAGAGGAATCTTATCTTTAACGTGGGACAAAAATAAAACACTCTCAGTACGTCCATCTCTGTTTTTCTTCTAATTCTGTGCTTTTTTATTTTTATATTTTCAATTGTAAAAATGACATACTAAAAGGAAAATAGAGCTAATGCTTATTAAGAACTCTCTGTGTATGGATTGGGAGCTCTGGTGGTGTAGTGCCTAAGGCATTTGGCTGCTAACCAGAAGGCTGGTGGTTCAAACCCACCAGCCACTCCTCGGAAGGAAGGTTGGGCAATTTATTTCTGTAGTGATACTGCCTCGGAAACCCAAGGAGGGGTTGCTATGAATTGGATCCAACTCGATGGCAGTGACTTTGGTTTTCATTGTGTGTATATATGGATCACTGCACCAGCATTATCTTTTTTAATATTCAAAATACTTTGAAGTACCTGATACTTTTATAGATTATAAAAAACCACACTCCAAACTCATTGCCACCTAATTGATTCTGACTCATAGTGACCCCTTTGGGTTTCTGAGGAGGTAAATCTTTAAGGAAGTAGATTGCCCTGTCTTCCTCCTGTGAAGTGGCTGGTGGGTTTGCACCACCAACCGACTGGTTAGCAGTCCAATGCCTTAGGCACTACGATTATAGAACTCAGGAAATTCAAACTGAAGAGAATTAAATAATCTGACCAAAGACTTGTAACCGATTAATGGTAGAGTTTGCCTCAAAAATGTCCTCTACTATACCCCTAGGGAGAATTGAATATGTGGATGTCCTGTCCTTTGTTTTAGGTAAATTTTGTTTTGAAAATTTTTCAATATTTTCTAAACATGTAAATGTAATTTTATTTATTTATTTATTTATTTTTAAAGCTCACTCTTCACAAGCAATATCCTACTTGTGGTCTTTGTGGAAACTTCAATAGCACCCCAGGTAAGATTCCAATGAATTGTTTCTCAAAAAAATTGTTTTCCCAAGGAAAATTGTAAAGTCATTGTCTTACTTGGATAAATCTAATTGCAGATAATTTAAATTTATGTAAAGAATGAGATAGTGTTAGATTAAAAAATATATTCACCTTTCTAGTTCATATTACCTTGAAAAGACTGTATGTATATATGCCTAGCTCTAGGGAGAAGGACACTGAGGCCATGCAGGGCCACACTAAGTTTCTACTGGAGAGCACAATGAATTAGCAAAGGCTGTCGGAGGCAGGCTCTCTAAGGGTGAATGAAGTAAACCATGCTTTCTTTTTAAGGGAAAGATGTCGATGAAAACATTGCCAATAGCCAAATTCCTGGTCATTGTCCCAAGGCTGTTAGTAAAACCTATGAAGTTTGTGAAGAAGGGCTACAGGTAAAAATTTTATATTTCATCTCATAGCAAATTTAATCAATTCCCCCTTGGTTTCAATTTAGATAGTGATCATCCTGTTCTATGTACTCATACTTTATTATTGTTGTTGTTGTTATGTGCTGTCAAGTCAGCCCTGATTCATAGCGACCCCTCCTTGGGTTTCCGAGGCAGTATCACTACGGAAGTAGGATTGCCCAACCTTCCTTCCGAGGAGTGGCTGGTGGGTTTGAACCGCCAGCCTTCTGGTTAGCAGTCAAGTGCCTTAGCCACTATGCTACCAGAGCTCTATTATTAGAATTTGCAAATGCTTCCCCTTCAGTGTTCAGTAGTTTGTTTCTCACCTTGAGTCTAGTTGTAGATACTAAAATAAGTTCTTTTTCCAAAACATTATGATGTAAGCTATCTATTGTTATAACAATTTTAATTTTCTTTTGTCTGTAAACTGACATGGTTCACCTTTCCATTATTATCTCTTGACGGCTACTTTATAAAGTGACACAATTTTGGAAATCAATGTACTGTGTCCCTAAGAATTATTTTCTTCTCTCACTCCCTTACTTTTGTCTCAGGTATCTAGTTTCAATTCTCATTCTCCACATTTCACCTTCTTTTTGTAAATGTTTTTGATTATAGCACTGGACAATATTCACCATTAACTCTACAATTTTTTCACTTTTATAGCTCAGTTATGTTGAAATTGATTGATGGCATCCATATGAAGACTGTTCACATATTTACTGTTCAACCTAAAACAAAATTCTCAAGATGGAGATGATTGAATTGTTATTTTCATACTATGTTTAGCATTGTAGTATGAACAGGTTTTGTTTTATTGACAGTATTTGTTGCATTTTATTTTATAACTTCCTTTTCATCTCCTGGCAAAGCAAATTAAGACATGACATTATATATATATCTTCCATCTTCCTTTGGAAATAGTCCTTGGTCATTGCAGTTAGAATTGCTTTCTCCTTCATTTCTCAGCCTATGATACTCTTATGGCAGTTATGATAAGACACTATTCATAAAAACCTGTACATGTTTCCCTCACATCTTCCCTATAAGATTATGAGTTCTGTGATGACAATTATGTTTTATCTGTTGTGGTAGTTGCATAGTGTATGAGAATTTACTTGTGGCTGCTCAAAAAATTTTACTTGAATGAACATATACTGTGGTAGTTAAGGTTGTATGTCAACTTTGTTGGGCCTGGTTGAGTGACTGGGTGAGACTGGCATGAGAGACAGCAGTAGCAGAGCTGAGAGACCAGTAGCAGATGCTGACAGCCTTACCAGCCCATGGAGGAGAAAGCTGGATACCATTGGGTAGGCAGCTTCCTGGTGGAGTGGGTTGCCTTCGTGCATTAATTGGTAGAAGGGACCAGCATGAGATGGAGTAGCAGTTTGGCCAGTCCATGGAGCAAGAAAGCTAAGTGTCCTTTGGGCAGGAAGATTCCTGGAAGAGTGGGTTGCCCTTGGGCATTAATTGGTAGAAGTGGAGAGACCAAGGAATCTAGAAGCAGAGCTGCCTCAGCCTCAAGGGTAGGGCATGGCGTTTGTGGGTGAAACCACTATAGCCCCCTAGTTTGCAAAGAGTCAGACCTTAACTAACTTGGTTCTGGAATGTGGGGCTGCTCTTTCATGCAGGCCAGTGGGGTGAAGCCATAGCCGCTGCCCAAGAGTGAGGGGGCAGGGCTGCCATGCTCAAGAGGTAGAAGAACAGCACCTTCCAGGCCAAGGGATGAGGTCACCACTCAGAGAAACTAGGGGACTTGCAAAAACGGCAAAGAGGCCACATGTTCCGACCTCCTCTAATCCCACAAGAGGAAGGCAGGATTACCAGCAGTAACGCAAGGCCTATTACTGCAAGGCCAGACATGCTGCCTCCCTCCAGCCTTTTCTCCAACCGTTCCTCCCAAGGCACCCACCACCTCTCTCCTGGGTTCGATAATTCACTGCAGTGGCCACACAGAACTCACAGATTATGGGGTTTATTAGGGAAGCACCAGGCTACAACTCAAGTTCAGGAAGAACGCTCAGTCTCTCTCCCAGCCCAACGTCCCTCAGCCAACAGTCTCTCACAGTCTCTTTCCCAGCAGCGCTGGTCCCTCGGTGTCTCACTCAGCAATGCGTGTCTCTCGCGTCTCTTTCCCAGCAGCACGTGTCTCTTTCAGCAGCACATCTTCCTCAACCAGCAGTCAGAGAGAGTTCTGCTTTCAGGAGGCCTCCTTTTGAGCCCGGCAGGGTGGTCAAACTAGCCAATCATAGCATCAGAACTCTAAGCACCTGAGAGAAAGTGGGCACCTCCCAGAACATTGTATTGTGCCACGCCCAACAGAAACACTCCACATGGATAACATTTACAATCAGCTCCTCAGTTGCTCATTCCACCACTGAGTTTACAATGACTTATGGATAGAAAAGCCATACTAAGTAATTTACTACACTGCAGGACTAGAGTCACCTAGTGAAGGAGATTTGTACAGATGCTACCCAATGACCGTCTGTATAGGTGCCAAGTTGACAAAAGGTGGAATTGTGGTAGTTAAGGTTGTATGTCAACTTGGGTGGGCCTGGTTGAGTGGCTGGTTAGCTGTGGTGAGATTGGTAATTAACTCCATGGTGGAATCTACTGGAATAGCTGAGTAGGTGCTTTATGGATATGCGTTGCTTCCAGTATATAAGAAGCAACTTTGAGAAAGGTCTCTAGCTTACAGCATGCTGGAACCCTGAGTGCAGCTGAGGCATTCTTCAGCAGGCTGTCATGCTCTGCTGATCTTGGGACTTCTAATGAACTTGACTCAATGGCCTGCTGTGTGATTTGGTAATATTGGGACTGTGCCTTTTCACTTGTTGACCCTGGGTTTGTCAGCCTCAGCAGCCAGCAGCTGCCCGAGTGAACAGATAACTCTAGCTTCAGGGGGCTGTGAGCAAGAGGCAGAGCTGAAGCCCAAGGTTGAGAGGCTTTCACCCAACCCCTAGAGCCTGGCACTTTGAACTTGGACTTCTAGCCTCCCAAACTGTAAGAGAATAAACTTCTGTTTGTTTGAGCCATCCCATTTATGGTACATATTTCTGTCAGAGTGGCATTAGGTAACCAAAACATATACATTCATGTTCAAACCAATGCTTGTGTAGTAAGGACCTACTATGTGAAGGCATTGTGTGATGCCAAGAAGATGAAAGTTTTATTTCTTCCAATACAGACTATCATTTAGTGAAAAAGAAGCACAAATAATAATAGATGAAATCTAATCTTTGAAGATTATATTTCACTTAATTATATTTGAAGTTATTATATAACCATCCAAAATGTCAAAGATGGCAGGATACTTTTAGGAGTCACTTAACCTACTATACTACTTCAAAAATCCCAACTTCAACTGTTGTTGTTGTTGTTATGTGCCATCAAGTTGGACCCGACTCATAGCGACCCCTCCTTGTGTTTCTGAGGCAGTGTCACTACGGAAGTAGATTGCCCCATCTTCCTTCCGAGGAGAGGCTGGGGGGTTTGAACCACCAGCCTTCTGGTTAGCAGTCAAGTGCCTTAGCCACTATGCTACCAGAGCTCCAATTTCATCTAGAACCCAACAACTCTGCCTGTCAATGGGTATTGTGAAAAAAATATATTTTTGTATTAACTTTTCCCTAAAAATTTGTTTTACTTATCAATTTTCCTTGTTTTCTATAACATCATGCTTTATTTTACAGCACTGTAATAAAATTATTGGAACCTACTTTGAGAAATGTGGAAAGGTTGCCCCTTTATCCAGTGACTACAAAACGATCTGCATTGATGAATACTGCCGAAACAGAAACAAAAAATCTACATGTGACACTTTCTCAGAACTGTCCCGCCTCTGTGCTGCGGATGGTCCTGGCATCTATGAGTCCTGGAGAGATGATTCCAATGTGGTTTGCAGTATGTTTTTAATGTTATTTGTTGTTGTTATGTGCCACTGAGTCAGATCTTACTCATAGCGACCCCTCCTTGGGTTTCCAAGACAGTATCACTATGGAAGTTTTAATGTTATAGTAAATTTCAAATGAGTAAGTTTCTATAAAACTTTAAGCTATGTTCTGATGCAATTTTATCAAATGACTATAAGCCCTGGAGGCATCTTAGAGACAGGTGAGTCTTGTCTCTCACATTTTCTTCTGAGGAAACTGAGACCCATTTTGGTGAAAAGTTTGCCACAAGTTACAGTGCTTTGTTCTAAGAACTTAATTAGGAAATGTACATTTTTTTACAATCAGTAAAAGTCACAGAGGGAGGGATGAGTAATTTTTGTAAAAAACAACTGGAAAAATTTAAAAATTATGCAGAAGTAATGATTTTCTTTCAAGATTATAAAATGTAAATATGAGCCTCATACAAATGTAAACATGCCTTCCACTTATGGTCATACCTTCCACTTAGGTCAATCCTTAGAAATTATAATATGTATAGAATATCCATTTCAAATTAAGTTGAACTAAAATTATATATATATAATATACATTTTCCCAAAATTAAATATTACAATATAATGCATGGGAAATTGGCGTAATGTAGTTTTGTTGGGTATCTTTAAATACTGACTCCTATCTTGAATCATATTCAAAAGAATCCAATTTGAAAAGCCATCCATTAGAATTTATATATTTCTCACATCATTTTCCTCTAATTTTTATACGTATGTATTTCTCCAGGAAAGCCTAAATGTCCAGAAAAACAAATCTACAAAGAATGTGGACTCTCAAATCCTGCAACTTGTTCTAACTTGGCTCCTTTTCAAGATACTGAATGTGTGAGTGCCTGCACCTGCCCTGAAGGTAATACATTCTGAGTACTCAGGCTGAAACAGCGGGAAAACAAATTGACACAAACATAATAGTTTCTTTTCTGTAACAAAATAGATGCTTCATAAATTAACCTACCCCTGCCATATCCTTTCTGCAAACTTCTGAGGAAGGTGAAAGGGATTTAAAATTACTGTGAGTTTTCTTTCTCTGCAGTATCTGATGCCTCCGGTTCTACACAAATTCTCTAGACACACATGGCTCAATAGGCCTGCTCTGTGGAGCACTATCTCAGGCTCAGAAAAGCTGATCTTACTCTAGCTAGATCTCACACCAGAAGTGATTGCTAAAACAAGAAATTATAATTTACTAGCATGTTTACATTTGAAAGCACAAGCTGAAGATTAATTTCACAAAACACTATGCCTTCATGACCGAGTGCTGCCCAAACAAACGCAAAGTTGTTTTCTTGCAGTTCTACAGGCTAAAAGTCCAAATTAGGGTCTCAGCTGTGTGGATTCCATCTGTGAGTCTTTCTCACAGTTTTTGGTATCTGCCGGTAATCTTTCTGTTTCTTTGCCTGTCCTCATGTGGCATCTGTCTTCCCCCTGTATGTGTGTCTGTCTATTCCGCTCTTTTCATAAGACACCACTCAGAAATGATTAACTTTAAGATGGCCTCATTAACATAATAAAAGAAAACCCCTATTTCCAAACAGGGTCGTATTTACAGGTATAGCGATTAGCACTTTCATATATCTTTGGGGCACACAATTCAATCTATAATGCGCTACTTAACAATTTACTGATATTTACAAAGTTTTGAATTAAATTTATATAACGTATTTTAGGTTATCTACTGGATGATATTGGAAAAAAAGGAAAATGTGTATTAAAGGCTAATTGCCCCTGTGAATCTAATGGGAAGGTGTATCAGGCAGGAGAAGTCCGAGAAGGTCCTTGTGGTTCTCAGTGGTATGTGTGCTTTTCTGTCTACATTTTATTGATGCTAAAATAACACAAGTATTTTTATGCAGTTTAGTAAGTTTTCCTACATGCACCATTAACGCAAACTTTTCAGAAATAAATACTAGCCTTGCTGTATTTTCTGTGTGGTTGATGTTTTGGCTTTTTTTTTTTTTTTTGAGGAGAGTTTTAATGGGCTTTTTATTGTTAAAAAATGAGTTTTCTTCGTGTTTTTTAAAGATAATGTTTTTCACTCATTGAAATAGTGTTTTGAATAGTAAACCAATTGGCAATTGCAAATACAAAGCAAAGCATAATACCAGGAATTTGAATGATAATGAAACAATTATCAAACTAATTATGCCAAGAATGTTGAATGAAATGTGCAGTCAAGAACAATCCGACACTTTTCAAATAATTTATATATGTGGCCACACTGCTGAAGATTAATAGTGTATTTAATACTGAGTGAATTTTAATATGCCAATAGTTAGTATAGATAATTTCTTTTTTAGTTGAAGAGTCCTTTTGAGTTCAGCCACGATATACTGACCACAGAGATTTCCCCATCCCTCATTAAGGCCTCTTTTCTGAAAGTGTAACTTCTGCAAGTTTTCTACAGAAATTTCTGTACTTTTGTGGGGAAATTATCTGGCTCAAAAAAAAAATCTGTTATTTATACTATGTTATTTCCTGATAAGCATCAAACTTATTATGAATAACAATAGCTATGATTTATTGAATGTCTATAACAGCATTGTCCAAGAGAAATATAATTGTACCCATAAATGGGATCCACATATATAATTTAAATTTCTTAGTAGCTACATTTTAAAAGCATAAAAAAAAACAGGTGAAATTAATTTTAATAATGTATTTTACTTAACACTATATAGCCAGAATGTTATCATTTCAACATGAAATCAATGTAAAATTGTATAAATATATTTCATAATATGTATTTTTTACTTCAAAATTCAGTGTGTGTTTTACATTTACATCAGATCTCAATTTGGGTGGCCACATTTCAGATGCTCTATAGCTACTTGTGGGAGCTCTGCCTAAGGCATTTGACTGCTAGCCAGAAGGCTGCCGGTTCAAGCCCACCAGCCACTCCTCAGAAGGAAGGTTGGGCAATCTACTTCCGTAGTGATACCACCTTGGAAACCCTAGAGGTGTTGCCATGAGTCTGATCCGACTCCACGGCAGTGAGTTTGGTTTTGATATAGCCACTTGTGACTGTACTTTATTGGACAGTGCAGGTGTATAATGTGGTATATAGCAGTTATTTTAGGACTAATAAATAAATATGTTCCACTTAAATTAACAAACTGCTGAAATCTAGTTCAAAGTTTATATATGCTTAGTGGAAGTAGAAGTTATCATTCTACTCAATGGAATTCGAGTCTTTGAATTTATAACAGCACTGTCCATAAGCCATTTACTCAGAACTGAGATGTTGGTTGAAGAATGAGACAAATACCTTATTTTAAGTTGTGATTTTTAAATGTTGTAATAATTGTTTTTAGCAGAGAGAAAACATGATTGCTGACCTTTAACATGATCATTACATTTTAATAGCTCATGCCAAGAAGCGAAATGGTCTTGTACTGAAGCATTATGTCCTGGGAGATGTAAGGTGGAAGGAAGTTTAATTACCACCTTTGATGGTGTTAAATTCAACCATCCTGGAAACTGTCACTTCTTGGCCATCCACGTATGTACTATGCCTAGAACATTTGAGAAACACCTAGAATACTTGAGAAAACCGATACAGACATCAAGCTATTTCTCCACCAATTTAAAGTTTAATCTTCATTTTGAACTTCATTAAAAACAATACTAACCCAATTACTGATTATACTTTTCAATATCTGCTTTTTGTCACATATGGACATTTATAATTGGTATTGTCTGTGCTCCTTGGGGAATTATTGCTAACAAAACCTTCTTTATTCTTTAATAATTCTCTGACTACACTGGAAATTGTTTTATTCTTTTACTTTAAAAAAAAAAAAAAACATGTATTCCCTAGTGCTTCAAACTAAACAGGTTTCTACATCCTAGGAAGCATTGTCTTCTTTCATTACTGTTTACATTTATTTTTAATTTTCATAATACAATATTACCAGTATGATAGAAGCCACACTTAGGTTTTAAATTATTTTCAGTACTAAAGTATTTAGGTAATCTAAATCTCAAAAAGAGTGATTCCATTTTGTAGCTAGAGCCTTTAGTGAGCATGAAAATAAACACTTTGATCTCATCTTCCTGATAAGAAACAAAGCTGAACACAACTTATGAATACTGAAGGGAGAGATGTGGATCAGCATCCCGTAATTGGTGGAAGGTAGTTGCTACCACTAAAATCAGTTATCCAAAACAAAAGTTACTTATTGACTGTCAACATTTTTTCCCCTTCTTTTCACGGTCTCTTCATAATCCATAGGATAGAAGATGGAGTGAGAGGGGAATATGTCAAAACATTTTGAATATTTGCTCTCAATATATTAGGGATTCCTAGATCTTTAAATGTGCATTGGAACCCAATGTTTATCACTGATACTGTAGTTTGCAGTTTTACAAGTTAAGTATCTCTCACATTGGATTTAAATAGTGATTGTGGATTGGTCAGAGGATAAATTTATGATACCTCTAATTCCTATTCATTTCCTCAATGTAACACATTCCACTTTGAGAAGAAGACAACGAAAGTAAAGATAAAAGAAAGAAAATGACTATGAAAATCCATCACATCATAAAATACATAGATATACTTAAATAAGATACTCAGAACTTCTACAAAGCTCTTGTCATATCTGGAGACTGTACCATGAAATGAACTAGTTTTCTGTTTTCAGTGAACACTGCATATATGTAGGAATTGTACATATTAAAAAAAATATATGCATTATGAATGAATCACATAGTGACAACATATAACAAATACATTTTAATAAACATTTTAATGAAATGTACTTTTTAACAGGACAAGGATTGGTCTATTAGCGTTGAACTTCGTCCATGTCCAAATGGTCACATGGGAACGTGTTTAAATAGTATTACACTTCTGTTGAATTCTGTAAGTATTAAGTTTCCCAAATTTATTCACAGTAAAATTGAACAAATTACTTCATAAATGCAGAATTTTTGAAGTTGGAGTTGTTGTTTTTGTTTTTATGTGCTGTGGAGTTGGACCCGCTTTGCTATGTAAATTAAAGATAAATAAAATTGCATAGAACATTGATAAAGTCTTTGGAGGCACTGATGGTTCTAAGGATCTTTAAGTATATCACAATTAGGATAGACACACAGTTATATGCCAAGTACAATATGTGACTTGTTGATTAAATCATTAAACTCCATGGACTGTTTTGGAAGTAAATGACATTTGTTTAGAGTTTCTTGTATTTGGAACCGATAGTATAAGTGGAAATAGACCTAAACAGAAAGGGTAGTCTAGCCCTTGGCATTTACCAGCTGTTTGACCTTTGGAAATCCACGTTACTTTCTTGGGCATCAATTTTCCTCATCTACAAAGTGGGGATAAAGCTGCCTTTGGAATCTGTCTCATAAATTTAGTATGAGAAACAATAAATGAAGTATTAGAAATGTTTTAAAAATATTCTATAGTTTAGATGTGTGTAAATTAATTTGATCAACTTAAACAAGTTAACATGGCATACAGATTTAGGTTCATACATTGCATTAGAAGTCACTTAATAGTATAAATGAATATGAACTAACAAAGTATTTTAAATATTAGTCTGTTGCAGTTGACAAGTATGTATTCAATAGAGATGGCACAGTGACAAATGACAAGATAAGAAATCAAAGTTATTACTATTCAGGTAAGTTTAATGGCATTCAAAAATAAGTATAAGATTCATTATTTTATTCACATTTTAAACAGATGTTAAATGTTCCTGTTTTTAATAGATATTAAAATATTTAAGAAATTTAAAAAATATTTACAATGTTAATCACTGTTATTAATTAATGTTAATAATTATTTTAACAGATAAAGTACACATCTTCAAAGCATCTTCCTCGTATATTCAAGTAGAGACATACTTCAAAGTAAAAATGCAAATACAAATTTCTCCTTTAATGCAATTATATGTTTCCATGCCTCCCAACCAATTTACAGACACTGTAGGTAAGTCTTAGGACTATTTTTAATGCCAAAATTCTAATGTGACTATTATTTATTGTAATTCAAATTGTCCTTCTATTAATGACACTAAATCATGAAACATTTTGATTTAATCTTTCTCTCCATGTTGCCATAAAACAAATGCAACTTGCTTTTCATTGTAAAGACAAGTTTATTTTTTCACAAAATCTATTCCCAAAAAGTTTTCAACAATTTAAACATTTGGAAGTTTTTTAATTCAGACTTTATTTAGTGAAATTTTATAATATATGTTGCTGGTCATTTTACTGGTATATTAAGACTTTGGCCTGGTTTTGCTAGTATACATAACTAAGACTTTTTGACCTGAAAAAGAATGAATGAAAATAATATAGATATAAATCTTCTGAAAATCATTTGTCAGATACAAACTACTTTTGTACTTGTCTTTGATAAATTATGTAGCCATATCTTTCATTGAGGTTTTCTACTACAGAAATCAGCTCTTACATACTGCCATGATATATAGAATGAAACAAATAAGAAGACTATGACAAAACCTACAATAGCTATTGACTTACAGATGACTAAGCTTTGGATGACCTTTACTTAAAGAGATGACTTATTTACACATGGGAGAAAGAAAATGTAACTCATGAGTTAGAAGTGTCCATGTCAGAAAGGGCATACAATACGTAACCTGATTAAGCTCTCCACTTCAAAGCCATGAGATATGCAATTAGAAGCTTTCTACTGCAGTCCTGCTTCCTACAACATTGTCAGTGGAGGTTAGGTTGCAACAGACACACTGGCAAACATACTATTCATGGCAAATGGTGTTTCCTTGCTCCTGGAATTTGAATGAAATGAGGATATTAATTTGCAGTGCCATGAAACTTCACTTATATGTATAAAGAATAAAACTAAGGCATATTTTCAAGCAGCTTCTACAGATTTTGATTTGACCAAAGAACCAAGTATGAGGTAAGGGTATAAATCCAAGGAGTTGAGGAGGTGATGAGATGTTAAACTCTGTCCTGTTCTTTTGTCCAGGACTCTGTGGTTCCTACAACAATAAAGTAGAGGATGATTTCATGTCGAGTCAGAACATACTGGAGAAGACTTCTCAAGCGTTTGCTGATTCTTGGGAAATGATGCCCTGCCCTAAAGGAAACCCAGCTTCATGCATTAGTATAGAAACAGGTAATAGCAACTGAACATCAAATTCTGTAATTAAATATTTGGTGCTAGGAATTACATACTTACCTTGGTAATAATATGAGAATATGAGATAATCTTGATTTTAGTTTGTGTTTGTTGTACTGTCTCAGTTTTAGAGAACACGACAGAGAAGCACAATCTGGCTGGGTGAGTACACTCCTAGAATGAGAAACAATACTCTCTTCTTCCTAAGACTAAGAAAACGCATCCTCAATTGGAGGATTCTCTCAGTAACTTTCCCTATACCCACGTTTTCCCTCTTAAAACAGTTTTCTCCATAGATATAGAATCACAGGGCTAGACTGTAAAGACCACCTAATTTATTAATCTTGTCCTCTTAATTTAATTGTAGAAATGATCATTAATCGAAATAGCAAGACCCACTTAATGGCTGAGGGGCAGTTAGATCCATTAATCATTAATATCAGGTATCTCAGTTATAACAAGCACCAAATATCTATCTTATTAATAAAACTAGCTTATGAAAGAATTTCACCTATATTAGTTCAGTTTATTCCCACAAAAACTCATGGAAGACATGGATGTGTGTTATTAACGCAGATGTTGTTAATGGGGTTCTGAGAGGGTATTCTTAATAAGAGCCAGAGGTCATGTTGGAATTCAAATATTTTGAAGCCAAGTCCTTGCTTTACTGATCCTCAACTATTGTTGATATTAGTGAATATTTTATGTTGCTTCTCTCATGCATAAGGAAGTCAGTAGAAGCTAAATTAAAATACATTGTGTCATTATGTTACTTATTTCTAAATTAATCCATATATTTGAAACAAATAGTCTGATCAGCTTATGATAAAACTTAAAATTATTATTGCAATTACTTTTCAAAGTTTCATTATTTATTTTGATTGAAAAAATCAGTTGGCAGAAACATTAGCAAAACCATGGTAATAGATATTTTAGGGTAGTATTTATCATGTTATTTTTTCCACTGGGGTTTTGTGATAAAAACACAGAGAGAATAGACAGAAAGCATAGACATCTTATAAGAAACAAAGCCAATTCATGTTAAGTAGACTAGATGCTAAATCTTTATATATATTTGATTTTCAGTATTTTATATTTAACCTAATAAATTAAACAGAAAATTAAACTGTTTTTAATAAGGAATTATTTGTACAATTTGTACAAAAAACTAATAAAAGAAGTTAGTCAAATTTTTAGAAATGATTGACTTAGGTGTCTTTTAAGTGCATTTAGTCAGCTTTATTATTTTCTTGTGACATTAACTTTTTAAAATCAATCAGCAGATTGTGGGAAAAGTATTTTTAGAGCTGTTTGGTTCCTAGTCATGGTCATCATCCTTAAGTATTTCCAATTCAAGCATTTAATATTCAAGATGATATATTTATGAGTTTTATTTGCTGTTGGTTTAATATTCAGCTAGTTATTTGTAAACCAACCAAATACCAATGGAGAACTTAAAATACACACACACACACACACACACACACATGAAATTAGTGTATTCGAATGATGTATTTTAGTTGCCCTAATATATAACCTGAAAAAATTTGTATGGCCTTCCTGGGAAGAAAAAAAAGAAATTGTGGAAGTTTCATTTAGTAATTTATGATAATTAAGCATACATATATATTTTAAAGTTAAAAGGCATATGAAGAAACAACCTGCTCTATTTATTCATAGTTTTAGTAGAAACTTCACTTTACAGAATAATTACCTGATTTAGCCAAAATGTAAACATTTCCCCTTAGTGTAGTTATTTCTGATTATTTCATGCTATCTTTGAACATAGTAACAAAAATTACTTTTATTATAGTAAAGCACTTTACAAGCATAATTGCTTGAATCAATAAAACCACAGCTCTGTTATAAATTTTCCCTTTCTCAATTAAAAAGATATATTATTGATACTAGTTTTATTTGCATTGATTTTCTTCCAGAAAAGTTTGCTGATAGTCACTGTGCAATTCTTCTTGATCCTGTTGGGCCTTTTGCTTCCTGCCATCCTATTGTGAATCCTAAACCCTATGTTGAGGTATGTGAGAGTTTAACAGCTTTATTTCCCAAAATATATTGTATGACATTAATAAGAATATGTTGACATTAAAAATTTTCAAATAACAGCTATTGTAAATATATTGATATATATATTTAAATTTAGTATTGGGTTATATTAAGTTATCCAATTGTTAGACATAGCAACCTTTTAAAAAAATAATAATTGTTGTTATTTGCCGTTGAGTCAGACCCGACTCATAGCGACCCCTCCTTGGGTTTCCGAGGCTGTATCACTACAGAAGTAGATTGCCCAACCTTCCTTCCAAGGAGTGGCTGGTATAAAGGCACTACTAAAAATAACCCTAAAATGAGAACATTCTTGAACAAGTTACTCTTTTCTAGTGTCTTTGACAACTGAGTTAATGATTGAGTTTCTGTTTTGCAAAGTTTTGAAGAAAAATATTTCCAAAGATTTTGAAGTTCTTTTTTCAAGGTAGAAAAGTGATTGTGAGTCATTGTATCTGGTTTACCTGTTCTTGTGAATATTTCCATAATGCAATATAAGTGTGTTTCTTATTTTAAAGGAATGCAAAAAATATACTTGCAGTTGTGAAAACAGTGAAGATTGTCTGTGTACAATGTTAGGCAACTATGTGAAAGCCTGTGCTGAGAAGGAAACATACATAGTGGGATGGAGAAATGGACGATGTGGTAAGCAGGATAGAGGTTATAGATAACTCTACTTCTCAATTTTACTCCACATTTGTGTGTGTGTATGTATGTGTATGTAGTTTGGATACAAACATTAATAATTTTGTATTTGGTTCTTTCAAAGATTATTGCCTAAGTTTTATTTTTTTAATCTGTGAACAATCATTATATTTTTACTTTTTAATTCATTTATTTCATCTTGATTTAATATGTTCAAACATAAACAACAGGAATACCTATATATACTGTATGCTGAAATGTAAATAATGTTTTGTCAATGCTTTTTAAATGGTATTCTATTATTTGTACCTCATTTTGAGATAAATAAGAATAGATCAGTAAATTAGAAACTCAAGTATCACAAGCTTTTATAAATCCCACTTTGCTTTAAATATATGTATTGCATTCTTTGAACATGGTTTCAGAAATATACTTGATTTACGAAAAAGAAAATGTTTAGCAACACATCTTTTTATAGATTATACTTAGCATATCATAGCCTATGTCCAGTCAATCAGCAAAGTCTGTCATGTTAACCTTCAAAATCTCTCTCAAATCCATTCATCTCTATCTCCATCACTAGCTTAGCTTAAGACCATCATTTTTCCCTGGTTGAGTGCAATAGCTTCCTCCAATATGTACTCTTGGTACTCCATATTCCATTTTCTACACAGTAATCTTTAAAGTGAAACAAAATAAAAGTAACCTAATCATGTAACACTCCAGTCTAAAACAAGTCAGTGGCTACTGATTGATCTAAGATTGAAGACTAAACTCTGCAAAAAGGTCCTACAAGATTTGACCGTTGATTCCCTCTCTTGACTTATAGCTATTATCCCCACTTGTACTTCTTTGAAAGGATTATCTCTTCCTCTGCTTGGACATAGGATTACCTCTATCAGGGCTGCCTTATTGTTCTCCCTCTATCCACCTCCTTATGAAATGTAGAACCCAAGTTGTACACACTTAGAACTTCCCATGCTATTTCTTCATAGCTTTTACTGTATTTGTCCTTCCCCCAATAATATAAGCCATGTGAAAAGGATTGTATTTCCTATCAGAATAATGGGTTTTATCCCCAGCAAAATTTATAGGTATATAACAGACACAGTATTGACTGGAAAATTAAGTGAATACAAGAACCAAAAAGCAAGAAGCACTGTTTTAAAATTAATAATCTCAATTCTGAATAATACACTATAGTATCTATAAACATCAAGTTGAAGTAAAATAATTTTCCTGAATGTGTACATATTCGCTACTTTTTATTTTCTGTGACAACAGAACAGTCTTGTCCAAGTGGCCTAGTTTTCAAGCACAATGTCAAAGCCTGCAATAGTTCTTGCCGATCATTGTCAGAGAGAGATAGGAGCTGTGATGTAGAAGATGTTCCAGTTGATGGATGCACCTGCCCCGATGGGATGTACCAGAATAATGAAGGAAACTGTGTTCAGAAATCTCAGTGTGACTGTTATATGAATGATGAAGTCATGCAACCAGGCAAACTCGTCCGTATTGATGACAATAAATGGTATGGATACTATATATAATGTCTCCCCCCCAAAAAAACCAAACAGACAAAACTAACTAACCACTGACATTGAATTTTGTTCTGAAGGCTATAACAAGATTATATACTTATAACACTGATGGAGCTCTGGTGACATAGTGCCTAAGGCATTTGACTGCTAACCAGAAGGCTGGCGGTTCAAACCCAACAGCCACTCCTCAGAAGGAAGATTGGGCAATCTACTTCTATAGTGATACTACCTCAGAAACCCAAGGAGGGGTCGCTATGAGTCAGGTCCGACTTGATGACAGTGAGTTTGGTTTTGTGATATGACATTGAAATCAAGGCACTATGTCTTTTTAAGAGGAATAGTCTTTTATCAGTATGAAGCCTTCCTTGTTTTTGTTGTATGTCCTTGAGTCATTTCTGACTCAGAGTGACACTATAGAACAGGGTAGAACTGACTCATAGAGTTTTCTAGGCTGCAATCTTTATGGTAATGTATTGCTAGGTCTTTTTTCCCACAGAGTGACTTTGAACCACTGACCTTTTGGTTAGCAGCTGAGCACTTAACCATTGTACCTGGCCTCCTAAAGCCTTCCTTATTCCTCCTATATGTTTTACTTTTCATTCCTTATTAAGGTTATTTATTGTCCCCTTAAACCTGGATAGTTGCCTGCATCATAATGGCTATGATAATGATTTGTTCCACTCTGATTAGGTTTTGAATACTAGAAGAAAAATATTCTGACATCTCTTATATACAGAAAATGCAAAGTAATTTCATATTCAACAATGCTATCTTCTCTCAGACATTCATAATTCTTATTATGCACCTACTGTGTGCCAGATCTTGTGCTGACTGTCAGAGTTACAACAATGAGTGAACATTGTCTTGGACTGACAGTCTAAGCAATGTGCCAATTATTATAACGGAGGTTTATGCACCATGATATGGTAGAAAAAGGGCCAGTTGATACCTGTGGAGATTAAAGAAAATGTTAGAGTAGATCCACATGTGAACTGTCCTAAAGAATTAATCTTTTTCCAGAAAAAATTTAGGATTTAGAGGGGGATTTCCACAATGTGCTAGTGCTAGAAAAAGTATTTCTCATGTGTGTTGTTGCATAGAACTAGATTGGAAATAAAGAGAGTGGCCAGGTCATACTCAATAATTTGGACTTAGTTTCTGGGTAGTGTGTAGCTACTAAAGAGTAGAATAGTGATTGTTCTGTAATAAGGAGGCTATGCTTCCTGAAGTTTTGGCAAAATGATTTGTCCATATTTCTAATCCACAGAGACAAATAGGAATTCTAGACAATGTAACTGCAAAAATGAAGTTCCTATTGGATGCACCTTTTCTTTTTTTCCTCCAGTTCCATGAATCTATCATTTAACAATGGATAATTTTGGGGGTGTTTTAGAAGAAACGTATAGATAACAACCCTTTCTGTTAAAGAGCAAAACTTGTATTTGGTTGGGTTCTGATAGTGATACTTTCTTTCTCTGTAGATGTTAGGGAATCAACAGATATACTTTAAAAAAACAAAAACAAAAACAAAAACATGGGCTAATACTTTCAAGTTATGACTCTTCATCACTGCCTTGTTTCAGATCCCCATTAGGTCATACAGTATTAATATGATAGCTATCATGAATGTCCCTCTCTCTCGAGGTCTCTTGCTCCTGCCCTGAATCACTAGAATGGCTAGTCTAAAGCACTATTCTGACCATGCAAAATTTCTGCTCAGAAACTGATAAGTGGCAGTTGTCTGCAGAATAAAGCCAACGCTGTGTGTCATTTATGGCCATCTACAGTCTGGCCCCAACTTACCTTTACTACTTCTCTTTTTCATGTATCTTACTTTTTCACCCAAACATGACTAATTGGAGCCACTGGAGCATACCTCAGTCTTTCTTCTCACTACAGATCTATATTTCAGCTATAGCACTTCCTACTTGCTGAATCTTTGTCCTCCATCAAGATACAGCCATCTATTCCATAAATTTTTCTGTGATGTCCATGGAAACTTATCTGTACATTCCTATAACACTTAACAGACTGTAACTTGTTAATTGATAAATTTTACACATCTTCTGGGGACCATTGTCTTGCTCACCTAACTAGTAAAAGAAGTGGGCCATGAGTCGGGGTTAAAGTTATAATAATAGAGTTATAAGAAATTCTACTTGAAATTTGATGTTCAAATATATCATTTTCTTCTATTTGCAGTGTCTGTCGTGATGGAATTCTTGTTTGCCAGTCTCCCATTGATTTAACCTTACGTAAGTATTTAAATCATGGTGCAAACTTAAAATAACGTCTTTTGTTAAAATAAACAGATAAAATGAACAATAACTTCTTTCACCCTGCAGATAATTGTTCAAGAGGGGCTGAATATGTTGATTGCACTGATCCCAAGGCACAGAGAAGAGTGGATATAACATGTAGCACTCGGAACATACCTACTTTTGATGTAAGTAATATGACATTGGCATCCCTATGTGGTGCACTTAAGTGCATAAGTGTGTAAAAAGTTAAATGTATAGGTTCTAACCAAAAGGTTGGTGGTTGGAACCCACTCAGAGGCACTTTGTAAGTATAAGCCCTGGCAAACAGCTTCAGAAAGGCCACGGCCATGAATCCCTATGGAGTGCAGTTCTTCTCTGCATTGCATGGGATTGCCATGAGCCAGAATTGACTCAACAGCTACTGTTTTCTTTTTTTTTTTTTTGCATAGAATTAGAGTTTAGCTTTTAAAATACTGTGTTTCAGAGAAGGAAACTAAAACTTCAATGAAAAAAATGTGAAATGATTATCATATGGCTTATTGTGTGTTATTTTCACTTCTCTATTACAATTATAAATGAGCACTTGGCACATTTTTGTATTGTAAATAAATGCCGATAGTGTGACATGATTATAGCCTCATGATGTGTATTCATATTTATTCCTATAGGAGAACTTGCCTTGCAAACGTGGGTGCTACTGTCCAATAGGAATGGTTCGAAATTCTGAAGGGCAGTGTGTGTTCCCTGATGACTGTCCATGCTCTTTTGGTGGACGAGAATATAACCAAGGGAGTGTCACCTCAGTTGGCTGCAATAAATGGTACATATTAAAAGATGAATATTTTATTAGTTTTGTATATTGAAATATGTATGGTCTACTTCTATTTTTATGGGAAAGAAGTTATATTTTGGGATATTTGGGAAAACAATGATCAAATTAGTTAGAAAAAGATGCTATTGTTTTCAAAATAGAAAATTATAAAGCATTATATATTATGACTATCATAAAGTTGGGCAATCCTACTTCCGTAGTGATACTGCCTTGGAAACCCAAGGAGGGGTCACTATGAGTCGGGGCCAACTCGACGGCAAACAACAACAACAACAAAATATAATGAAGAAAACTCTAAAATTTAAAAAAATTTAAATCAACATGTCATGCTGTTGTCAAATAAACATGAAATGTACAAACCAATTTGTACTTCTTTACAATAATTATATGATACAAAGCTTGGCATACTATAATTACCCAAACTCTATCCTTTTTTTCCTTTTAGTACTTGCATAAAAGGATCTTGGAGCTGTACACAGAATGAATGTCAAACCACATGCCATGTTTATGGGGAAGGTCATGTTAGGACTTTTGATGGAAAAAGTTACACTTTTGATGGTCTCTGCCAATATTCCTTTCTTGAGGTAATTATAAGTGTTTTTAAATACAATGTTCTTTCTTTATTAATTATTATTCATTTGTAGATGAGTGCAAGGGAATTTTAGTCCCAAGATGGGAAATTAAAAAAAAAGCTCCATATATGTTTCCAGAAAGCAGTAAAATGTAACGTAATGTAATACTGACTGTGGAGGCAACTAGAGTAGATTTGAATCCTGGACCTATTGTTTATTAGCTGTGTGTCTATGGATACATTTTAAACTTCTCTGTGTGTCAGTTTCTATATCTATAAAATGGGGATAACAATAACCCTGACTTGAAATGAAATTAGAACAACCATTGGAACATATTCTAAGTGCTCATTCAATGTTATTTGTTATTATTTGAACAGCAGCACTAGCAACGACAATAACAATTACTATCATGTGAGTGCTCACTGATAGTAATTGTGATTTATGTAGTTTATTACATTTAATCATCATAAAACTACAGGGTTTATGTTATTATTCCTATCAGACTAAAATGGAAAAATTGAAACATAGAGAGGTTAAGCAATGTAAGCTAATAAGTAGAAAGTGCCATATTCAAATCTAGAATTGTCTTATTCCAGAGTTCATGCTTCTTACTTACAAGTAACGTCTATGGGCAAAATTTGGATTGTATTGTGTTTATTAGCTTTGATTGAAATCAAGTTTAGTATAAATCTCTGAGGAAGAACATCACTTTTCTTTAGTTATTTACTGAGTTTAGAAACAAATCCATAAGTACAAGTACATACATCTAAATATTTATGTATCTGTGCTATAATTACAAACTTGTATGGAAGTAATGGAAAAATGGCTGTATCCAAAGAAGTTAAGTAGGTTGGATTCAGCCTAGGCTACTTACCCATAAATGCTCAAGCCATTGTCTTTTGGAAATTCCATAGCATACCATATGGTGATTTATTGAGTTTAAAATGTCACCCTTTATAGTTCCTGATATTTCTAAATTGTTACTATCTTTTCATTTTTAAGGACTATTGTGGCCGTGAAAATGGCACATTTCGTGTTTTAACTGAAAGTGTCCCATGCTGTGAAGATGGGCTTACATGCTCAAGAAAAATAATAGTTGCTATTAAGGTATAGAACAATTTCTGTTTATTTTCTTTTTTCCCTTAGATAACAGCCAAATAAAACTGGTATTACATCAGTGATTCTTTTAAATTCTTTTAATTTGCAGGATCAGAATGTTGTCTTGCACGATGGTAAAGTAACAGCAGTCAAAACTTCAGAAAGTAAGGAATGTGACCTCAGTGCATCATACAGCGTACATACCGTTGGCTTGTACTTGATTCTAAAATTTCCATTTGGGCTAACCATGATTTGGGACAAAAATACAAGAATATCTGCTATACTGGATCCACGCTGGAATGTATGTACATTTCTAATAAGTGATTAGTGGGAAACCAAAATAATTTCTGTTGTTGAATGTCCATAGGTGGTGAGTGGGAGGATGGTAAAGACAGAATTTCTGTTTTAATAATGAGCCTTCCACTTCCATTTAAGCTTATCATCAAACACAAAATTTATAGAAAGATGAGAGAGTCTGGTAAAAATTATATATACTCAACTTAAGGCATTCTAGTTTAAATAATCCAATATGGTTGAGATTATCACATGATATGATTTTGAGATTATTGGTATATATCAAATTTAGTGTATTCCTTAATATTCTGAGAACCTAGAGTTTACACATGTATAATTTTAAGCTTGTTGTTGTTGTTGTTATGGGCCGTCAAGTTGGACCCAACCCATAGCAACCTCTCCTTGGATTTCCGAGGCAGTATCACTACGGAAGTAGATTGCCCCATCATCCTTCCGAGGAGTGGCTGGTGGGTTTGAACTGCCAGCCTTCTGGTTAGCAGTCAAGTGCTTTTAGGCACTACGCTACCAGAGCTCCCAATTTAAAGCTAGATAATGTAATAATCTGCTATTTCTTAAGGCATTTATCTTATTTGCTACTGGATCATTTTTGCAATATAGGATACCAGAATAAATGGGAGTGGAATCTTATCCACAGATTCTAGTTTCCTTCTAAAATTTGGAATTTAAAATAGATTCATGATACAGTATACATAATTGTGATATCTCTCCCACAGTTTAATTTTACATACCTATTTATCTACCATAGGTCAAGAATCAGTTATTTGAATAGTACAAGGAGATATTGGGTTGCTAGGAGTTGAAGAAATGTGAGATAGTGTTGTATTATTCAGTTTGTGTGCTGAGCAAATAACATGAGAAACTGGGTTATATGAAGAAAAGCATGGTGTCAGGATTGGAGGAAGACTTATTAATAACCTATAGTATAAGGATGACACAATATTACTTGCTGAAAGTGAAGACAACCTGAAACACTTACTGATAAAGTCAAAGATGACAGTCTTCAGTTTGGATTACAACTGAACATAAAGAAAATGAAAATCCTGACAGTTGAGCTGATAAAAAAGATCATGATAAATGGCAAAGAAATTGAAGTTGTCATTCTACTTGAATCAACAATCAATGTCCATGGAAGCAGCAGTGATGAAATCAACCAATGTATTACATTGAGGGGTAATCTACTGCAAAAGACTGGTTCAAAGTATTAAAAAGCAAAGATCTCACTCTCGTGACCAAGATGCTCCTGACTCAAACCATGACTTTTCCAATTGCCTCATATGTATGTGTAAGTTGACAATGAAAAAGGGAGGTTGGAGGAGAATTTGTGTATTTGAATTTTGGTGTTGAAACAAAGAACATTGAATATACTGTGGATTACCAGAAGAACCAACAAATCCAACTTGGAGGAAGTACAAGTGTTCCTTAGAAGTGAGGCTAGTGAAATATCATCTTGCTTACTTTAGACCATCATCAGGAAAGACCAATTTCTAGAAAGGACATCATGTTTGGTAGAGAGGCAGCAACAGCAAGAGAAACCCTCCATGAGATAGATTGACATGATGACTGCAACAATGGACTCAAATATATGAATGACTGTGTGGATTGTGCAGGACCAGACAGTGTTTTGTAGTGTTATACATAAAGACAACATGAATTGGAACTGACTTAGCAGCAACTAAGCACAACATCTATCATCTATCTTTCTATTATCTACCTATACCTATCTATTCATCTTCCATCTATTCATCCATCTATCCATCCAGCCTTCCATCCATCCACCCATCATCTATTACTTGTTGTAAGGTAAAGAACTTAGCTTTATTCAAAGTATGTACCCAACTTATTTTTCTCCTTTCTGATCTATATAGGGCAAAGTGTGTGGCCTTTGTGGAAATAACAATGGCGATCTCAAGGATGATTTCACAACCAGATATTCATCATTAGCTGCTGGACCATTGGAATTTGGAAATAGTTGGAAAACAAGTCAAGAATGTTCAGACACAGTAACTCAAACTTTCCCTTGTGACTCAAACCCATACTGCAAAACCTGGGCTATACAGAAATGTGAGATCATCCGGGATGCCACCTTCAGAGACTGCCACAACAAGGTAGCACTGGCTCTGAAAGCAATTAATTGCACAGGTTTTTTTTCTCAGAGACTCATGTGCTGTGCTCTGCCTAGGTTGACCCCAATGCTTACTATGATGCATGTGTTGAAGAAGCCTGTGCATGTGACATGGAAGGGAAGTACCTCGGATTCTGCACTGCTGTAGCTATGTATGCAGAGGCATGCAGTGCAGTTGGTGTCTGTGTCCCATGGAGAAAGCCAAACCTCTGTCGTAAGTATAATCCACATATTATTGTTCTTTTAAGAAGAAATTAGATCAAATTGTTTTGGTAGACCACCAGTATCTCTTTCATATTTTCTATAAAACACATGTTCATAGAAAGGTTTAAGAATATGTTAATATGTTTGTTTAGGGTGGAAAAATAATACTGATGTTAAAAAATAAAGCACCTGCCAGTACTTCAGGTTCAGTTTTCATCTCAAAGTTCATGTGTTCACATGAACCACATATGGAATGCTAATGGAAAATATCTTATTCATACTTACATGAACGATGAGGTATTGATCTATGTTGGTATACCCACATATCCATAAACATTTACCACACATACTACTTTTGAAACAAATGCTTACACATTTAAGCTTATCACTTTGCAACTTTTATAGAGTCCTACTCAAGGTGAACTATAAATTGAATATAAATTAAGTATTTATATATACGGGATGTGATAACCTTTATAGAAATCAGTCAGCTTTTTTCATTCTTAAGGAAGGCATGGTGAGAGAAAATATGGTGAAATGAGAATAGCTAAAATAGAAATCTCACTTTATGCAATTTATTATGCACAGCATTAAATCAAATTGACATCTGTGTTACCTCATTTGGGGATTTTTTTTTTTAAACATACTATATAAGCATAATTTCACTAGAGATTTATTTTTGCAAATTAAGTTGAATATGCAAACCATGAATCTAGAATAGGACCTACAATATTTCAAGATGGGAAAAGTGTTTTCCTTTCTATCTCAAAATCACGTCAGTGTGAGATGTCAAAAGAAAGCACTCTTTTCAATTCTATGCATTATGCTTTTTTTGTGTACGTGACTTAGTTTGGCTTATAGGGCAATTTAGATAACACAGTCAAAGGGACCTTAATAAGATAGAACAACATATTTTAGCCCTGCTTATTATTAATATTTAGTGAAAATCTTGTTTTAAATGTCTGCTTTGGAGAATGAAGGGTAAAACTTGTCATATAATGAAAGGAAATAATTAAATTCAACTCTAGCTGTCTACTGTGATTATTACAATGCACCTGGAGAATGCAACTGGCATTATGAACCCTGTGGGACAGTGACTGCAAAAACATGCAAAGATCGGGTCATTGGCGAGAAGTTTTCTGCACTTTTGGAAGGTAAAACATAATTTTGTTATATCCATGAAGCAATGCAAGCAATATTGATCTTTTAAAAAATGAAAAATTTTATATGAGTTTCACCTTCTTCAGTGTCATATATTTTGTGATTTAATGAAGTTACTTAACTTATCATGACATTTATATTTCTATATTAGAAATATTTTTCTTTAGACATAAATTAACTGTTTAATAGAAGCAAGAGAAAGAGAGAAAAAAAAAGAAAGAACAAGAGCAAGTGAGAGGGAGAGACAGAGAGAAGTGATCTGTCAATTTTTATACTTTTCATTAAACAATGTAGTTTGGTGAGAATGCAGTTTCAGAAAGCAACTATACTATAGTCTCATTTGAATAGAGTCCTATTAACCATATCCTATACTGAACAGACTTTTTTTTCTTGGCATTGTATATTTTAGGAAAGAAAGATATTAGTGGCAAAAAACAAGATGATGCAAAAGCTTTCCAAAGGTCACCTCTGTGTTCAATCTTGGCTTTGGAATTTTCCGACCATTTTATTATGACTTCTATATCTTTGGCTACCCTTGCAAAAATATTTAGAATTGGCATTCACCTTTTAAGACACACATTTGTGTTGTTGTTGTTATGTGCTGTCGAGTTGGACCTGACTCATAGCGACCCTGTGTCCATCATTAAACCAGCCAATAATTTAAAAACAGTTTAGGAAACTTTTCTTTTGGGGGGGTGGACAGCCAAAAATTTCAAGTGCTTAGGCTAATATTCTACTGCAGAAGGGTCTGTGTCCTGATCCATTTGTATATTTTCATTATGAATATATTGTCTTGCTATTGTTAACTTCAGTTCATAAATCATTTAAGTAACTTTAAAAATATATAATGATACCCATCTCAGTGTGAATGTTGGGTCACTCTTGAAAATGAATGCTGCCTACTCAATTAAAACTCACTGCCGTTGAGTCATTTTCCAACTGGTAGCAACCTCTCTTTGGATTTGTGAGGCAGCATCTCTATGGAAGTAGATTGCCCAGTCTTCCTTCAGAGGAGTGGTTGAGTGTGTTTGAACTGCCAGCCTTCTGGTTAGCAGTCAAATGCCTTAGGCACTATGCCACCAGAGATCCTGAATGCTCCCTAAGTATTCTTAAGGAATGGTAATTGTCGATACATATGAACAGTCATATTTAATATAGTATAATACAGTTTGATGAGTTTCAGTAAAGTAGAGATGAACTGTGGGTCATTTTTACACACAGGTTGTTATGCGAAGTGCCCAGACAGTGCTCCCTATCTGGATGAAAACACCATGAAGTGTGTCAGTTTATCTGAGTGCAGCTGCTTCTATAATGATATCATACCAGCAGGGGGAGTCATCCAAGACAACTGTGGAAGAACATGGTATATTCTCTACTAGTTTCCAATAAGCAATACTGTTTTTTGCATTTTCATATAGAATTATACATATACATTTATATGTGTATGTGTGTGTGTATAAGTTTTAACCGTGTCATTTCTAAACAAGAATGCCAGCTTTTGGTTCAGTTTAATCTTAATTATGTTAGTTTGTATTTCAGAAAACTCACATATCAACCTATGGCTTGCTAAAATCTTATACCAAATAATGCAGAAGACAGGACAGAAAATGTCACTATGTAGTTTTAAGTTAAAGCTTTAATTCTATAAATGTAAAATCGTGTACACAAGCTCTCAAACAGTCACATGGAAAAAGAAATTATACTAGAGAAGCATGGCCTTCAAAAAACTTCATGTTCAATATTGAGAATGTAAGAACTGACTTTACAGTTTGACTGCAAAACATATTTTATATCCCAGGAACTCCTGAGTGAAATGACTGGGGATAAAAAGAAAAACAAACAAACAAACAAAAAACCCTCACTGCCATCGAGTTGATTCCGACTCACAGCGACCCCCTTTGGGTTTCCGAGGCAGTGTCTTTAAGGAAGTAGATTGCCCAGTCTTCCCTCTGGGGAGTGGCTGGTGAGTTTGAACCGCAAACTTCGTCTGGTTAGCAGTTGAATGCCTTAGGCACTACGCCACCAGGGCTCCTTCAATGAAATGACTGGGGATGCAGTAGATAAAAAACAATGTGAATTGAAACTATGATCTTGGAGAAAACAGTATTTACTCTTATTTTATATTTGGTTCTAGTTTGCTTTTCATTCTTAGGCAATTTGTTTATCGTCCATTTATTTGTGGGATGTATGTCGTTAGGAGTCAGAATTTCAACCACTTTCTTGTTTTTTATTTCACTTTCAGCTCTTGCGTTGCAGGGGAGTTGGAGTGCAGTGGTGAGTCATTACATTTTATTCTAATTGTTTTAGGAAAGATGAGCTGAGGAATTTGGGATCTTTACAGTCCAAAGGAAACCACCGCCATCAGGTTAATTCTGATTGATAGCACCCCTGTAGAACAGAATAGAACTTCCCCATAGGGTTTCCAAGGCCATCTTTCTCCCACTGAATGGCTAGTGAGTTCAAACCAACATTTTGGTTAACTGGAAAGAACTTTAACTACTGAGCCACAAGGCCTCCTCACCACCAGGGGAGAAGGTGCTTAATGTGTTAGAGTGCACCTCAGTGTAATGGGACAATCCTGTTCTAGTATAATTGTTTGGGTCATTCTTAAAAACTAATGCTGAAAAGGCATTCTAAGTGACTGGCTGACAAACTAATGGCTGATACACATGAGCAGTTCTATTGCATGTATATGGGAGCTCTGGTAGCATAGTGGCTAAGACACTTGCCGGCTAACCAGACGGCTGGCGGTTCAAACCCACCAGCCACTCCTCGGAAGGAAGGTTGGGCAATCCTACTTCCGTAGTGATACTGCCTCAGAAACCCAAAGAGGGGTCGCTATGAGTTGGGGCCGACTCGACGGCACATAACAACAACAACAACAATTGCACGTATATATACTTCCATCTATCTCTAGATTCTGGGAACCAAAGAAGCAAGGAATCAGTCCAAATAGTTTAATAAAGAGATAAAATGAAAGGTGAGGAGTAGTGTAGAAAGAATTAAGTAATTGAGGGAATAGTCCTAAGAAACACATACCTTTAAAATAAATCTTAGCAACCTTCAAAGAAATAGATGTGCTACTTTTTTTTAACATTAGAAAAATATGAAAAGACACAGATAGCCCATGAACAACTTGAGATCTAGATTTCTTTCAAGATTTTTCATTCCTATCAATAATAGTAACTTATGATTATTTCAGAAACTGCTACAAATTCAACATTTACAGGTAAAATCATTATTATGTTTTAAAGGTGTATTTGTGGGTTTGTGTGTGGGAGTCTAATTCTTTATAGTTACACATGAATCAGTACCAGTGAAAAGTATATTGATTAATCTATAGATACACAAATTAAAACAGTTATGAGAAAATATGTCAAAATATTGTTACATTATATTCTTTGAATTAAGTTAGGAATATGATTAGAACTTAAATGCCAGCTGAAGCTTGACTTTTTAAAAATAATTATTGGAACAGTGGAATGAAAAATGATAAAATGAAAAGTGATAAGCTGTCTCATGTGAAGTTAATATTTTCAAATCGTGATTGTACTGGGGATATTTTAAAAATATGGAAATAAAAATAGTTAATTCTTTTTTCTAAAATCATGCATTTAAGTTATAAGGTCATTTAAATTTTCCCCTTTGAAGAGTTCTGGGTAAAATGCAGTTTGACTTTAGTTTTGGCATTTATGTAATTGGCAGTAGAAGTATATTTGGGGTTGCTATACAGTGACACATTTTTGCCTTATGTGATTCAAGGAGAATTTTTTTTTCCTATTGATTGATATTTGGAGGTGGCATAAATTTAGAAATAGCATAGTAGGTTAGAAACCTTAGGTTTTCATAATGTATTTAAAGTTATACAATCTCTGAAATGTTAGTTATATTCTGGATCATATTGGACAATTAGTTACAGTTAAGATATCACATGTCAAGGTCTCAAATCTTATTTTTTGGCCTGTAAATGGCTCTTATAAAGTTCCTGTAGGATTCTGATTAATTAGTAGTAACAAGAAATAGTTATTTTTGGTGGGCATGGAATAAATACAAACACAGTGTTATTTGATGTGATCTAAATGAAAAATGGTTTTGTCCTTTAAGCACTGCACAAAATTTCAGAAATTTTAATTGTAGTCTATGACAATTAATTTCTTGAACTAAATTTCCCAGGATAAATTATTTAAATAATTGATTTTCACAAATACTGTCTTCCTAAACAGTTCCTACTACAAGGTCTACCTCAATATTAAACACCGAAACAGGTAACATACTTTTTTTAAAAAAAAAACTTCTAAATTAGCAACAAACTTAATTTGCAATTTAGGCATTTTGCCTTTTTACAAATTTGTCATTTTCCATTTATCCATATCCTGAATGCCAATGGTAAGTATCTGGGTCTATATCCAATTTTAATGTTAATAAACACCTTTCCTGAAAAGAGGAAATCTGTCCTAGTAAGAAAGTTCTACATACTATTGTTTTGGAGAAAGTGGCTACTCCAGAAAATTCTCTGTTAAAACTTTTGAACAGAATTCTCAATTTCTCTTTTAACTGTAGTGAGATGACTTGTAATTAAAGCAGTGACCAACAGAGTACAAAGTATATTCAAATGCATAAACCTCTAATAACTGAACTTAACTCTTTTATTTGCTCATTCATTTTCATTCTTGAGATTTTTAAACACATCTGCTTAAATACTCTTGAGCCTTGTTTTTCAATATCATTTTGAAATACATTTCCCAATATTTTTCTCCTTCTTTATATAGCAATTACACTGGTTACCACTATCCCTGGCACAGGTAAGCCATAAAAACCAAACCAAACTCATTGCTGTTGAAATTCCAATAAACTTAAGCAACGGGAGATTGAGAAACAAAAAGCACTCCTTTTCAAGTATTATGCCTTTACAATGGCATTCTTAGACAAAGTACACCATTTTTTTTTTTTTTAAGAATGTTTTAAGGAAATGTTTTAGGAAAATATTGTACAA